GTTAAATTCCCATAAATTACATCACCGTATCCAAGGATAGGTGCGTATTGATTGTTTCCAAACCTTACCGTACTTCCAAAAGATTCAACATAGCTAGCTAAGAGTTCTTTTCTACCAGTCATGTGCTTAGAACATCCGGAGTCTAAGAACCACACATGCCGGTTAACCTGCAAAAGTGAATCAATTGGGTTTTGATACCCATTTTAATTTTGGACCTTTAAGCTCATATTTTGTTGGTGGTATACTATTGGTACCAAACCAACGCTCTTTAACATGCAATTTCTTAGATAAAGCAGAAAGCGCAGAATGCATGAAATGATAAGGTTTAAACGAAGTAAAAGACTTAAGTAATTAATTCACTCTACATGGAGAACAATTATTTTTAGTATTTCTTATATCAAGCAATTCATCAACTGAATATCTTATTACAGAATTATTCAATGTCGAATTATTTAATACATATTTAGTAAATTTATTCTTCTTCTATTGAGTTGATGATTTGTCTTCTTCTTTTACTCTCCAAATAGTCTTAGACTTGATCCCCTTATCTGAAATAGGAAAAAGAAAATTATCAGCTTTAATTGGATGTCAAACTTTTTGTTTAATTTTCTTTGTAAGCTTCTTCTGTTTCCTCGAATTCTTTTTAGTTTTATTCTTTTTATAATACACATCATCGGAAATAGGTTTTTGATTAAAATTCTTTTTAAAGTCTGAAGCTAAATCGGAATCCTCAGTCATGTTGATTTTAATAATAAAATCTTCATGACTGGGTAAATTGTTCGAAAAATCAAAACGATCAATCTCATTATCTAAACAAACATCTGAATTTAAGATTTTTGAAAAATTAATTTCTTCATTAAAATTATTAATTTCTTCTGAATCRGAGGCTTCAYTCAAAGATTTTTCGCACGAAAAATATTCAGACTCAACATGTTCSRTTTTTATYTTASAATTTTGTAAATCTTCAATTTTATTTAAAAATTCTTGTTTCTGTTTATTAAATGAAAGTCTTTCTTCAGTTAAAATCTTTTCCAACTGAACCACTTGTTTTTAAAAAATTAGAGTTGGAATGTAAGGCTTTGGTTTAGTTGGTTTTGATTCAAGCTCTGCCTTTGAATAACTGTGAAAATAATCTGTTGAAAGTGCAGAGTCTTGATTATTGTAACTTTCATTAAGATTTGTATAATCAAACGGAACTTGCATTTTATCTTTTCTTTGACGATTGTAATCTTCCCGTTGTTCGACCTCATTAGAAGATTTTGTAAATTTTACCCAAAACTCGGGACCGCAATCAATATATTCAAATTTGTATAAGGTCGGGGCATAATATAAAGCTTTTCCTAAAAATTTTGGATTTTCATACCCCAAACCTTCCCGATGGTTAAAAAATCTCGCTTCAGATGGTTTGTTTAGAAAAATGGTTTGATCAGTTTTTCCTCGTTTATATAAAACTTCCTCTTTAGACTTCGGTTTTTCATTTCATAGAATTATTTGAAGTTCAAACTTACTTATTTTAACAATTTATTCTTCATTAACTAATTCTAATGATTTATAATTTACCTTTAATTTAGATAATTCGGCTTTTAAGATATTGGATTTTTCATCAAATAATTTGGTCTCAGATAACAAAGTTTTGCCCAGTCCAAGTTTCCAGCATTTTCATTAAACATTGTGATATATTTTTCTTTTTGCGTTTTTAACTCTTTTTCAAAATTGTTTGAACGCATTTTTTCTGATTTTAATTCTTGCTGGAAAGATTGGAGTTTGAGCATCATCTTATGCATCTGTTTAATGCATGATTGCTCCAATACCTCTTCATTCATTTTAGCACTCTGTTCTTCTTCTTCATCTGAAGAACAGTTATCTGATTTAGCCATTAAGCACATGTGCGCAACAGCTTCAGTTTTTTCCTCTTCATCAGTCAATTTTAACCAGTGATCATCCTCTACCATAAGCGCTTTCCCGGCATCTCTTTGTTTAAAGAGAAGAAATTTATTCTTGTAGTAGTCGGTATTTTGAGTTACCGGCTTCCTACAATTTACAGCAAAGTGGCCTAGTTTACCACAGTTATAACATTTGGTGTTTTCATCAGCCACGCCTTTGCCAAATTTTTTCTTCTCTTCCGGCTTCTTCTCATACTTCTTCTCGAACCTCTTTTCTTCATATTTCTTCTTCTCACCAAATTTATCTTTGTATTCATATTTTGAACCCGACGAGAATCTTTGGTTGTTCGAGTGTGGCTGTTTCGGGAACTTCTTCTGTAATGCTTTAGTGAGCATTGCTATGGCATGTCTAATTTCTGACATTTCAAAGTCTGAATCTAAACTGTTACTTTCTTCTTTTTTAGATTCACTTGATTGGCTAACTTCCTTCACTTGGTTTCCAGCTCTGCTCTTTACTTTCTTCTCTTTCTTCTCAGATACAAAAGCCAACGGATCAACAACTTCCTTCTCTTTCTTCTTCTTTAAATTTCGGATCTCCAAAACATCTTCCTCATTCTGCTTCAGAGTTTCATAGATTTCATGAACATCAATATCAGATAATGATTTATTGAATCTAATATGATTAGCAAACGGTTTCCACTCTGTTGAAGATTGTTGAGGAATTTAACCTTTATCTCTATTACAGTTTTAGAGATTCCGTTCTTTGTCAGATCATTAAGCAGTCTGGTAAGCCTATCATAAACATCATCAAGGCTCTCACCATCTTTAGCCTTGAATTCTTCATATGCTAATGTACAGTTAGTGATTTTCAACTGAGTTCCAACTTTAGAACCCATCATCATCTTTTCAATTTGAACCCACATGCTGTGACCAGATGCTTTATGACTGTCAATGCTGGTGTAGATGTCATTCGTCAGTGCTTGCATCATGTAGGACTTGCAAAGCACATCAACATGGGCTCTTTCTCTTTCTTAAGCTGAATATCATAATTTTTCTTTAATAACAGTCTGAGCAAGTATGCCTTGTTCTAGAATAGCATGTATCTCTCAGTAGTATATAACAGAGCCTTCCATCAGAGATTCCATAATCAGATCTCCTTCGTTCATTCTCTCTATGAAATTCAGAAATCTATCTCTCCATTGATTATAGTCTCCACGAAATAGCACTGGTGGCTTGGTATCAGTATCAATAGCCATTGTTTTCCTTGAACTCATTTTATCAGTTCGTATGATATAGGATCAACTGCAGTTCAAAATTTGTATTAAAGGATCAGTATTCAAAATATATATCTGATAAATCTCAAATAGGAATTTGCATTCATTCAAAACTTAGAAAAAATTAAACACACAAGCTTATCCGGATTAGGATTCCGGTCAAGCTCATCCGGATTAGAAGTCCGGACAACTGACAAAACTTTTCAACAAACAAAGTTATCCGGATTAGAAGTCCGGACAACAAATCGCACACTTATCAACACTTAGCCAAAAAAAATAGACAATTAAGCAAACATTATACGGATAATGCAAAATCAATATGAATAAGTCACAAAAATCAATTTTGATTAAAAATCTCAAATCGGAAGTTTTCAACACTTAGTCAAAATTCCAAAATGAAAATTGGACGCAAAAAGTCAACAAGTCAAATTCAACTAAGTCAACTAGTCAAAATACGAATAAGTCCGCTTAAAATCAATTTGATCAAAAAGTCAAAGATTTAAATCGATCACAAAGCAAAAGTCATGAACTGTTCACAAATCCGTTCAAAAAGTCAAAGTCAGAGTACGATCATTCAAAAGATTCAATCAAAGAATAAATCGCTCAACCTTAACCTGGTAAATCGCACAATAAATCGCACAACATACAAACCTGTTGAGCGAATTTCCTTAATCTGCTCAAATATCCGCACAAAGCACAAACGACTTACCAAGCGATTTATTTAAATCGCTCAACTATCTGCACAAGGGTTGATCGATTTACCTCTTAAACCGATCATGACATGACCGGTTTATTATAATCCGATCAAATCCAATTCACACAGAAAATTTACAAGTATAAACCGTACAAGCTTTAAGCGATAAACAGACTAAATCGACTAAGAGTTAAACGGACTAAAACTCAACCAAAAAGACAAATTTCACACTTTTTACCAAAATTTTGGATCAAAACATGAAAATTTATGAATTTTGAAGATCATTCAACAGTATTCGAAAACTCAAAAATCGATCAAATCAAGTTCAAAACTTGTTTAAAATAAAAAATATTGTGAATCAAACTTGTTCAAAATCAGATTTCGAATCTAGCGATGCAAATAATATTGATTAACAATCAAAATTCAACATAAAAAATGATCAAAAACAGATCCTGGACGAAGAACAAATATGAACAGATGAAGATTCAGATCGAAAATCAACTAAAATTCGTGCAAATTTGTTTAATCCTCTAATCAAAACTACTGCAGTCTGCTCTGATACCAATTGTGATTCCCAAAATCATACAAACATGATTAAGATCTTCAAGAAATAAGATGAAGAGAGAGTAGATCACCAAAAGTCTCTTGATTGATTGAGAGAGAAATTACAAGGCTTATTTCAGAATACAATTGCTAATGACTTGCTAATGACAATTACAAAGGAAACTCCTATTTATACTAAGAAAATAATAAACCTACACTATTACAAATCATGTAAAATATGAAGAACTTGAATACAACAATAACGCGCATACTCGAACCCAACAGATGCACATAAGGATCAGAAAGGAATTTCGACGTCGAAAGGAGCTCGGAGAAGATGTCCTGGCTACATTAATCTAAAAAACTTAGACTAGTCTTTTCTTTTGTATTTATCCATTCACTGTATAACCTATATTCTATGTCTACTCTCAGTGTTCTATCTTATCTATAATACTTTATAAAGCAAATTTGCTTAAAGTCTTAAAAACACTTTATTATGCACAAAATACTACCCTTTAATGCAAAGAGTCTTAGAGTCTTAAGAATGTATAACTTCCTTATGCATTTGGTACTACCCTTAAGCACGTATTCGGCTGGCCCTCTATGCTCCTCATTCCAACGCACCTTTATCCCTCTCTCTACGGCGCTCTCTCCACGCACGATTTCAAAGAAGACGATTCATTCTTCAAGAAAACGATTCAGGTGACTTACAGTGTATAAATGATGAAGCATGATTCACGCTCCTGTCACGCGATTCAAATCCCACACGATTCAGCCGATTTTGTGGAGGTGAGTTTTCTTATTTGATTTTGAGTTAGGTTAGGGTTTATTTGGTTTATTTGGTGAGTTCTCTTATTGCGTTAGGGTTTATTTCGTTTATTTAGAGGTTAGGGTTTATTTGATTTTGAGTTTTCTTACTTGATTTTGAGTTGGGTAATCTGATTTAGTTAAGTTAGGGTTTATTTGGTTAGTTTGTGTGTAGCGATTCAAGCTATTCAGGACTGACCTCAAGCGATTCAGGGCGATTCTTTGGAGGTTCTCAAAGGTAATTATTTTCCAACAGATTTCATACTTGATTTTGAGTTAGGTTATGGTATCTCTGTTTTTTTATTGCGTTTTAACAGTGATATGTTCTTTGTGTGCAACCTACTGTCTGTGATTTAGAACTCCTTTTTAACAGTGATAGTGCAACCTACTGCCTGTGATTTAGAACTCCTTTTTAACAGTGATATTTTCTTCATCGAACTCCTTTTCTTTATATTTAACAGTGATATTTTCTTCATCGAAATCTTCAAACACTCTTTGCATTTCTTTTTGGATGTTCTTACTGTACATGTGCATTAGTTGGATGTTCTCCCCCTCCCTATATATATATATATATATATATCTTAAATCTATAAACATTGGCCAAATTAGCCAAACCAAATAGACCCTAACTTACTCTTACCGAGTTTAGACTTCAAAATATTATTTTCCAACATATTTCATACTTGATTTTGAGTTAGGTTATGGTATCTCTGTTTTTTTTTTGCGTTTTAACAGTGATATGTTCTTTGTGTGCAACCTACTGTCTGTGATTTAGAACTCCTTTTTAACAGTGATAGTGCAACCTATTGCCTGTGATTTAGAACTCCTTGTATGTGTTACTATCTGACTGTGCTCTTGAGAAGTCTTAATAGGATTGCATGAATTACCAGGTTCATTGTTGATGCATTTATGCAACTAAATTAATCATCATACAGCCAAGTTAAAATGCTGCATCTAAACATAGAAAGAGAGTGTAATTGAAGATGCAAATTTTCTTATACTAATTWCTTTGATCTTGCAAATAGTTATGATGGCAAGTACTTATGATGGCAATCTTTGGACTTGACATAAAAACTTTTGTAATGGGCTCTAGAACTTGCTTTTTCAGCAAGGATAATATCAAAGGACAACATTCAAGTTAGAAAGCATAAAGGGCATGGCATATTGTTATCTGGAGTAACAGAAGTATTTCATATGGAAACTTTTCAGTTTGCTGCATTTTCATAGATAAGTTTCTTGAGAAAAATCAACATTTTGTTCACTTATTCTTTGTTGAATTTACTAATTGTCCACTATCAAATATCCCATCTATCTTTTTCTTTGGTTGAAGAATGTGTCTTATAATTGCAACTGAGAGTAAAACCGAATCCATAAACCCTAAAGCGACGTATGTATAGATCTGTTTATACAAATACATACATACTTCATTTGATTGTTTCTTAGGTACCTTATATATGTGATTGTGAGGGAAAAATGGTTTTTTAGTGACATTTCTAACTTGAGTGTTGGACTGAATGGATCATGTTGAGTTGAGCTTATGGGCCCTAGAGACTGAATATTCATTTTAGATCAAGGTTGGACCTCTGGATTCAGCTTGGCCAAGGCTCTTTTGATTTATTTTGACAATTTTTAGATACATCTTTAATTGATGGTGTGGACTCACTGGGTATAAGCTCCTTGGTCAGTGTTGGAACTCTTTCTCCTATATTCCATTCCTACTTGAACACCCGAGTGCTGCAGATCAATCTGTTTTGTGTTCTTTACTAATTTTCAAGCTTCATTTTTTAAGTGAACGTTGAGAAGGCTGAGTTGAATATGTGCAAGTTTAACATGATCTGCCCACCATTTAAAGATTAGCAGAAGGGGAAAAAAAATACACATACAGTAGACTAGACGGTAGACACTTCTCAAGTACTACATTATGATGTGCTTGGGACGACCTTTGTTTAAAAGATAGAGGCCATAAATGATGTTAAGTGACAAGAACTCACCAGCTTGGTAGCTCTGCTGATAAAGCTACATGTATTATGTGATGACAATGATTGTTTTCCCTTCTAACATTAGTAAAAATGCTCAACCTTAAGTAACTAGGATGATAATGGAACGAGCTCAACGGCATTTGGATGTAGGTAAAGGAATGGCATGTATCCAAATGAATCAATGTTTAGGTAGCATGTTATCTTCCAGTGTTGCATGATCAATGCAATAGAATGATATATGCTCATGGTAGCTTGACAGTACTGACATACTAGAAGTGATCAATTCTATTTTGTGGAGTTGGTTTTCAGTTAAATGAAAGTGTTTATATACATTCTCATCATATCGACTAAATGAAAGGTTTTAGTCATTTATTAGACTATCATTATCGTATAATTGGCAATTAAGCAGAACTAACAAAAGCATTCTGGTAGAAGAAGTTACAAACCTAACACTTCCCATTTAAGAGACAAGGGACATAAAAGGGGATGATAATTTCCAGTATGAGCTGGGTATGTTTGATTGCATCAATTGACAGTTTTGATGTGACCGAAACATATAACGATGGCAATAATAGAGAAGGTTTGATAATCTTGTTAGTTAATATAAAATTCATTTCTCTTGTCCAGAAATCTTCTATTTTATTGTTTTTCTGGCATGCTTCTTTGTTATTTGACTCATTTCTCATCTCTAACATGAGGATATAAATGCTCCTTTCATGGAACTTTTTCATTTGTCAATATATCATTTTACACCAGCTAATTAATGTGATTTGATGTGAACTTTTCAGGTAAAAGTGTTCACACAGCCACATTACTTGCATAGAGAACTGTGAGGTACCAAATATCAGTGTGGTGGGACATAGAGAACTGTCAGGTACCGAAAGGTTGTGAACCTCATTCGATCGCTCAGAATATAAGTTCTGCTTTGGTTGTTATGAATTACTGTGGGCCAGTATCGATTTCTGCCTACGGCGACACCAATCGGATCCCGGCCTCCGTACAGCAAGGTCTCAACAGTACCGGCATCACCTTGAATCATGTGCCCGCTGGTATATACATATAATTTTACATCTATCGCACCATATATGGCATAAGTATATAAAAGCAGAGTCTTTTTTGATGTTGAACTGAAAGCGATGAATGTGCTTTTTGTGCTTTGAGTGATTGATTTTGGCAAAGGACTATTACTTCAAAAAAAGACTTACATATGTGGTTGGTGCACCCCAATCTGTCTGTATAATTAAGATGGAGTAATTTTTGTTAGTTACATATTTAGGGAATGGTAGAGGAGTAGGCAAGGAGAGTTGATCTGGTTTGTTTTAGTACTGCTTATTTATTTATTCAGCTAAATGCTATCTTTATGTATTAAGCTAAATGCTATCTTGTGTTTTAATCCGAATTTCACTATTTCGATGTAATTTTTTTAGGATTTTTGATTTATTCCAAATGATTTTTTATGTTTTTGGTTGATTTTGAAGAATTCTTAGATAGGTCTGTGCCTGCTATAGACCAAATTTTGAAGCTTTATTATTATAGTTCGAATGACACCAAACCATTGGTTTTGCCATATCTCATGTCTTATAACAGTATTTGTCATTTTTTTCATTGCATTACCATCAACGCTAGATCATCGCTTCACCATCAACGTTAGATTATTGCTTCACCATCGACCACTATATCTACATGCATTGGTTCCTTTGCCGTATTGTCACTACAACAAAAAAGGTTTTATACGACACTTTTTTGGGACACTTTTCAAGATCCGTCCTTTAAAATGGTTAATATGACACATTATTTTGGGAGTCCTATTTGATTTAATTTAATATGACACTTTTTAATGTCATATTATTTTAGAGTCTAATATGACACTATTTAAGTGCTATATCATTTAAAAGTCTAATAGGACACTTTAAAGTATCATATTATTTTAGAAACTAATAGGACATTTTAAAGTGTTGTGTTATTTTTAAAAGTTAATAAAATATTTTTGATTGTTGTATTAATGTTTAAAGCTAATAGGACACTTAAAAGTGTCTTATTAAAGATTAAAATAATATAAATAACATCAAATTGACAAAGAACTTGACCAAGAAGATTGTCATGTCATCATTTGATTTTTGTGACATTTTATGTTCAACTTTCAAGAAATGAAGGCGTTGCCAAAACTGGTTTTGGTATACCATGAACTCCCAATTCTCTCTTTGTCTTTTGCTGCAATTACGAAATGTGGGAACTTTTCATATTCTTATCTTTCTGTTCATTGTGTATTTTTATAAATTGATTTAAACAAGTCCCGAGTATAGGTTATATTGTTGTTTAACAATCCTTGGCCGGTGAAAACAATGTTGTTTACTGTAAATTATGGTGGATAGGTTTTAACATATTGAATTCTAAACTTTGTTCGATCGATTGCAATTGGAACAATAACTCTTATTCATTCAAATGTATTAATATGTAAAAAAATTAAGAGTAAATCATATCATTCAAAAAGTCTTCTCTCGTGAAAACACGAAAAGCCTCAAAATCGTTTACATTTACGACTCCCGCCGCATTGCGCGGGTACACAACTAGTATTTTATAAGTTTTAGACATGTACTGAACAACCTGTAATATTTATATTTGAAATTAATATAAGTATTTTTGTTCCTCACTGAAAAAGATCTCTGAAAAGAGTAATAGGAACACAAGTCTATGAGTTCTATTGCTACTCTTACATTCAATGACAATCTATAAGGCAGTGAACATGCTTTCAGTTTCAGTTTTTCTTCTTGTACTTTCTCTTAATCTTTTAACTTAAGAAAATCTACTAAGTAAAGACTGAGTCACTGAAAAAGGTCCCAAAACAGTTAAAAGGGACATGTACTTTATATGTAACTTTTCCTTACTGTTATTTGATAAGGAAAATTTCTTTATGTTGCTTTGTTATCATCAAATAAGGGGAGATTGTTGATCATCTCTCTCAATGATTTGATGATAATCCCTCTTACTTTACACGAAGTATTATTGTATCTGTCTTTCAGTTCCAATAATCTTCACTGAGTATATTCAATGATTGTTGAAAACATGTAATGTAAGTCCATCAGCGACAACGATACTTTAAGAAGACAAAACTCACATCAAAGAACATTTAGCTAAAGTCGAAGACTGAAACTGAATATTAGAGACTGACGAGTTCTTGATGTGAAGCGGTATTCAGTGATTACAATCTGGTCTACATATGTGTGAAGACTACCCAAGCCTCAGCGAATGCTGAAGAGATTTTCAGGGTTATTCTATCATTCAACGATCAAAAGAAGGTTGTTGAGCAAGATTGTTTTTGTCTTGTACTTCCACACACAAAGGACAAACCCATACCCTTTCTAGAGTATAGTACGATACAGAGCCGATAAGTGGACTCTACTACCCACCAACACCATGAAAGGATGTCTTCTCATGAATAGACTTTTGTACTATTCACTATAGCAAATGACAAGTCTTTCTCTAAAGGCTTGACGTATGTTCAAACCCTACTGCATTGCATTAAATGTGCATTTAATGCAATGGGTATAAATAGATGTGTTCTATCTCCATGCAGAGATACTTTTACTCTTGAACCCTAACTCTTACGCTTATACGTGAAAGAACACACATCTAAGAACACAATACACTTATTTTCAAAAGCAAGTTAGAATTCCTTTAAGTATTCTAAATAGTTCTTACCCAAAAAGAACTTACTTTCTTCTATGTGTTAAACATCAAATCATTCTTCTTTGCTAAGAAATTGTGTGCAACTTTGATTGTTTAGATAGGTTATCTTTACTTTATCTTTTCCTCAAACAATCTTGTAAAATATGTATTGATCCTTCTTTGTTAATATATATTTTAAATTTGAAAAGTTTACTGTGTTTGTATTCATCCCCCCCCATAAACTGTTTATACACATCTTGTAGACCCTAACGGGAGCAACACATATAAAATACATATAGCAACTAGAAAAGATTTGCTACAAGAAATAAGGTAAGAAATATGCTCTTCACTTGTTAACATGGGTCTTTCTCTTAGATAGAAAGTAGAGAGAAGTAACTTATTGGGTAAGTTCTTAGTGAGGATGTTAGGATCCAAGCGCTTACCACTACGCCAAAAGCAATTGCTGGTGGAGAAGGCGCAACTTATTTCATTATAGCATAGCAGCCATCGCCACGTTTCGATTTAGGAAGATGCTGGTCCATGACCCAACAATCCCCCCCAACATCTGCCAGCATTAACAAGATCTTCGCTAGAATTCAATGGCTGCACAGCATGCCTTTCGCATTATTATGCACACCATGGGATTCGAACCCGTGACCTGCTCTAATACCACATGTTAGGATCCAAGCGCTTACCACTACGCCAAAAGCAATTGCTGGTGGCGAAGGCGCAACGTATTTCCTTATAGCGTAGCAGCCAGCACCACGTTTCGATTTAGGAAGATGCTGGTCCATGACCCAACAGAGGAATATGATAACTAAGAGGAGAACCATTCAACTATTTATACCCATTGCATTAAACGAAATTAAGAAGTTATAGGGCACGTGGCAAACTTTTAGAGGTAAGCTTATCTTTTGCTACAATATACAGTCCTTTTGGCTATATATGAGTAGTCCTCTATCATAAAGTAGGTAAGCACATTTGTGTGTAAAGGACAAGACAAAAATAATTTTGCTCGACAAGATTTCTTTGATTGTTGTACACTGGAATGACGCTGAAAGGTCTCATCAGTGTTTGATATATCTTGTGCAGGCTTCACATATTTGTAGACAAGCTTGTTATCATTGAACACCGCTTCAGATCACGAACTTGCTGGTCTTTAATCTTCAGTTTTAGTCTTCGACATCACTGAAGGATATGTGGTATGAGTTTTGTATTGTTGAAGTATATTGGTTTCTAAATGAAATACAATACATTTTCAGCGATCACCGAACAGACTCAGTGAAGATTGCTGAAACTGAATAACAAAATAATACACTTCGATAGATAAAAGTATCATTATTAAATAATTGAGAGAGAGGAACAACAATCTCCCCTTGTTTGATGATGATAAAGCAACATAAATAAATTGCTTAAGTTACAATCGTAAGGAAAAGGTTAATGTAAAATACTTGTCCCTTTAACTGTTTTGGGATCTTTTTCAGTAATACAGTTTATTTATGAGAATTTACTTAAAGATGTAAAGGATTACAAATTCAAGGATAAACTGACATAATAATGATAACTGAAATTGAAAGCTTATTCACTGGATAGAAAGTTATCTGTCAATGTAAGAGTACTGAAACTCATAAATACTTGTCCTATTTACTCTTTTCAAGGATCTTTTTCAGTGAACTGGTGATTTCATTGAATATTAAACAATGGAAAATATTACAAGTCTTTCATCAGTACTGGTAGACCTATTACATATAGGTTATGTACTGAAATAGAGAAAAGAAAATAAGATTTAAAAAAAGAAAAGACGTCGAATATAAGTCACTGAAGTTGATATAACCAGGTACATCTTCCCCAAGATTCTTGCGTCTCAGCATCTCCTTTCTGATTTTGCGTTCCATCAATTCTCCAAAGATATCATTATCTAGCCAAGTCCTAAGATAATACAAATAATCTATCGAATAGAGGTGGAACTCATATACTTGCTGGAGCATGTATTCACTGTCATAGTCAATGAATATGAGTCCATACTCAGGTTTCATGTATAAAGTGTTGATATGTAGGGATCCTTCGTTGGTAGTGTCAGGTTCAACTTTGAGAGATCCAACTTCTTTCGATCCTTCGGAATTTCATCCAAAGAGAATCTAGGCTCATGTTCATTCTTATGGGATGGTCCATCTTCAGGATCTGAAAAGTGTTTTCTTCTAGAGGGAGGTTTCTTTGGTAGAGGAGAGACTTCGATGTTCTTGGACACCTTGTTGAATAAATTGTTCAGAATTTCTTCAATCAACGAATTATGCTTTGACTTTGATCACTGTATAGCCTATCAAATCTCGAGCCATTCGGCGAAGCCATATTGCCCGAGGTAGGAAGTGTACTCGGTGACAACATCTTGGTTCTCTCTAAAGATGACTAATGAGATAAGGATTCCACCATCCTTCATACCATCTGCTGATGGTGACGTTTGAGATGTTATGGGGACTTATCCTTTTCTTGATCCTTTAATTACACCACTTTAGGTTTCGTTCTTTCAGCGTTAGCACCCATTGATGTTCTCGTCTAGCTTGTGACAAAAGTTAGGCCTGAGCTTTGACTGGATCCTTCTTCTTGAGTTTCCCTTTGGCCAGAGCTTGGATAACTAGAGACTTGGCCAACTCTATACTATCCTTCATTTGTTGACGTTGTATGTGTGTGTCCCAATA